ATTTCAGTCCAATACGGAGGCAAAAAGACAATAGAAAAGGCAAGAAGCCCCACATTCAAATAGGGTCTGACACAGACACACACGGAGTCCCAGTATCAAACAGAATTCATAAAGTGTGCTTGGATTCCCCAAATCACAGTATTGAAAGATCATCATAAGAGAGTGACCATTGCTACTACTGAGTCCAAATTTGCTTTAAAGGAGTCCTGATCTACATTCTCCGGGGTAACCTAGTATTGGTGCTGCTGTAGCTCTCTAGACCCCTATACAAATTTTTATGTGGTTCACTTCCTAGAAATAAACCGATTATGTCTCAGGGAGAAAATAGGGATATGGACCCTCATCTTCCTCCCCACCACATTTTGACTTTCTATTTTGAGAAATACAAAATAACTATGGGTCCTTCCATGCACTTCTAGTGGGAGTTTGCCTTCACAATCATTGCTACTGATGATTACCACAAGAGTCACTTGATTCACAGTATAGTTTTAGTCTGTATCCCTGGCTCCTCCACTACTACTGTCTTCATGGTTGCAGAGGTGAGAATTTAACACTACCCCTTTAGTCTCCAGAATATGTTTCCCCTTCCCCATACCAAAGCCCCCCATTCTTGCCCCCATGCCACATGGTCTGTGTGTTCCTCATTCACCTCTAGCTAAGTAGCGTCCCAACACACACTTGGGGGCAATAATAAGAAAATGGCTGATCCTTTTGAAATGAAAATGCTACTTCCAGCCTCCAGCTCAAACTTACCCAGCTGCTTTGCCAAGGTTGGCAGCCTAGGAATCAAAGGGACACTAAACATCTAAAGAGACTCTTTGAAGACAGAGAAAGGGGTGAGTCACGAGAGAGCTAGTACTGGGGAAACAGACTGACATGGAACACAGATACACATTTGTCAAGGTTCCTTCCCCACTCTGAACTCTAGGGTACAGATGTGGTGACCTGCATGAAAACCCCCTAAGCTTATTTTTACCAGCTTAGGTTAAAACTTCCCCAAGGTACAAACTATTTTACCTTTTGCCCTTGGACTTTATCGCTGCCACCACCAAGCATCTAACAAATATATAACAGGGAAAGAGCTCGCTTGGAAACGTCCTTCTCCCCAAAATCCTCCCCAAACCCTACACCCCCTTTCCTGGGGAAGACTTGATAAAAATCCTCACCAATTTGCATAGGTGAACACAGACCTAAACCCTTGGATCTTAAGAACAATGAAAAAGCAATCAGGTTCTTAAAGGAAGAATTTTAATTGAAGAAAAAAAGTAAAAGAATCACCTCTGTAAAATCAGGATGGTAAATACCTTACAGGGTAATCAGATTCAAAACATAGAGAATCCCTCTAGGCAAAACCTTAAGTTACAAAAAGACACAAAAACAGGAATATACATTCCATTCAGCACAACTTATTTTATCAGCAATTTAAACAAAACAGAATCTAACATGTATCTAGCTAGATTACTTACTAAGTTCTAAGACTCCATTACTTTTCTGTTCCCGGCAAAAGCATCACACAGACAGAGACCCCCTTTGTTTCTCCCCCACTCCAGCTTTGAAAGTATCTTGTCTCCTCATTGTTAATTTTGGTCAGGTGCCAGCGAGGTTATCCTAGCTTCTTAACCATTTACGGGTGAAAGGGTTTTGCCTCTGGCCAGGAGGGATTTTAAAGGTGTTTACCCTTCCCTTTATATTTATGACAACGTCCCTCAAAAGCATCTGAAACAGTAAGGACCTTTCCAGGTTCATGGGGAAGATAAGTCTTAGGAAGGAAAGCCACATGTATAGACTGTTTTAAAGTAAATTTTCTCTGAAATTATTTGGTTCTAAATCAACAGTAAGTGGTTTTAAGAAGGCTGTCTCATCAGTGGATACCACTGTCCATAGCTCCCAGAGGGAACAGAACTGCAGGTACTGAACATACATCAGGCCTGCTGAGATAACGACTAGGGTAGCCAGATGCCCAGTTTTCGACTGGAAAGTCCAGTCAGATCTATTGACTGGACACCCAAAATCCGGTTACTGCGGGCGGGGGAGGTGCTGAATCATCACCTGTGCCAGCCCCTACTTAGCCAGGGCCACCTCCTACCTGCACTGGGCATCTGCAGCTCCCAGCCCCAGCTTCCCAGGCAAGTGCCTCCCGACCCAGGCAGAGGTTGAGGAGAGAGAGGGGAAGCGCAGCGAGCAATGGGGGCAGGAGGAAAGAGAAGTGAACAGAGCGGGGCCTCAGGAGGAAGAGTCAGGGCTGGGGTGAAACCTGTAGGAAGGAGCGGGTAAAGAGAGGTTCCGGCCCTCCTGTTGGAGAGTCCAGTTTTTAAATATTACAAAGTTGGCAACCCTAGTAATGATGGTTAGTACAGGGGGACGGCAGCCCAAGGCCTGGTCTGAGAGTGGGAGAATCATGTGGGATTCCACAGGTGTCCCCCATTGCCCCGGTCCCTGTGGGCTTCAGAAGCTCCTCACTCCCCCTTCGCCCCAACCCCTACGCTCCCTGCACCCCCAATCCCTGTGCTCTCCACCTCCTGTGCTCCTAATGCCTGCCCCCTCCTGTGTCCCCAATGCCTGCATTGTGCCCCCTTCACCCTTAACCCTTGCATCCCCCTCCTGCATCCATGTGTGGAAAACAATCTGGATGCGTGGAGTGGCTGGCATTGCTGCTCACTCCCCCCCTTGAACACTGCTCCTCCGGCCCCCTTGGGGAGTGTGGGGTTGGGAGCGAGGTGCAACATCAGGGCTCCCTGCTTCCAAGTCACTTTCCCCACCTGGGCTGTGTAAGGGGCAGGCAGGAGAGCAGCAGCTCCTGATGCTTGCCTCACAGCACAGCACAGGTGGGGAAAGTGACCTGGATGCTGGGAGGCCGGCGTTGCTCCTCACCCCCCCTTATAGTCTCCCCTAGGGAGATGCAGAGTAATGGGGGAATGAGCAGTATCTGTGCACAACTGCTTCCCGCACAAAAAAGTTCCTTTGCCAGGAAGAAGCAGGGAGAAATCTGGGTGCCCCCCCGACGCATCACCTCTGCAACTTTGCAGCGCTTCCCAGCCAGCCAGGAGCACTTTCTGACACTACACTGGCAACACACACCTCTGCACTGCTGCCCCCCTGACCATGGCACCCTGGGTGGATGCCTACAGGTGGTGCTGTTAGCCTGGTAACTGTGACAATCTTCTTCTTTTCCAATAGTCATGGTTAATAATTGTGAGGCTTTTCCTTATCTTTAAGCATAGCGTCACCTAAAGGATGTCAAGAACGCAATGTGACTAAAATATTGGGAATCACATCCCTGTGTTGTGATTGCCTAGGGAGGTTTGGGAATCTCCATCATTGGAGACTTTTAAGAGCAGGTTAGACAAACACCTGTAAGGGATGCAGGAGACTGGACTAGATGACCTTTCGAGATCCCTTACAGTCATACAATTCTATGAGTTGGCATTAAAACACACAATTAAGATTTGGCCTACCATTTTTGTGTTTCTCTAGACTACAAATTTTTAGTAATTTGGGAGACAAAATTCCTTGGAACTCAACACTCAACAGGAGTTCAGCTGGATGGCCAGATTTTGTTATGAAATTAGGCTAATTGGACTTGTTTTTATATTGTTATATTGAAAATTTTTATATGACAGGATAATCTGATTGATTAATCTACAGCTATTGAGTACATGCTTTTTAAAAACAGAAATCAATAAATTCTAAGTCTTCAGCATTAAAAACCAAGCCTGATACATTTCAAGGAATTTTGAAGAAAATTCAAAAACCAAACAATATGAATGAAATCCTGGTCCCATTGGAGTCAATGGCAAATTTCTCATTGACTTTTCAGTGGGGCAAGATTTCACACTATAGACGCAAGAAAAATGATGAAAACTAAAAAAATTATACCAGCACAAGAAGAGTCAGTGTGTGTGGGGTAACAGAGGGAAAAAATACAACATTTAGCACTGGAGGAGACCCAACAAGTAGAATCTATTAGTAAAGCTTCTGCAAACATGTTGCCTTTCATGTCACCAGGCTCAGACTTTTTCTACCTGCTGTCTTCAATTCCATTTGCCTTAATGTTGACAATGGAAACGCTGCATGTGTTTGTAACTCATGACTTACACACTGAAAAACGTACTGTGGTACCATGGTGCAGGTATTGCACCTAATTCGCTGTGCAGTGCTAGAAAAGTGCTAGATAGTTTGACCAGAAGATAATTCAAAGTGTTTAAAACTGGCACCAGCTTCTTATTCAACAAATCTGCTCCTGTGCTATACATTCAATCACATCTGCTTGCTTTTGGGACAAAAATATACTTTTGCTACTTTGTATTTCAGTTAGCACTGCAAAGCCAACATTGTTTTGGAAGAGTGGACTCGATTCTGATGAGTTCATATACCATCCACAGGATAGTTAATTAAATTCAGATCATAGAACTTTTTCTATTTATGTTGAACTGTGATCTTTCTAGCTCTAACAGTCAGAAACCAGACCGGGTTTTCAGAGGTGGCATTTAGGAAAACAAACATTCTTTTACTCATAAAGGTAGTAAAATATGGAATCACAGACACATAACCCCACAAATGCAATTCCTTTGGGCACTTTTTGGAGAATAATTGCACTTTACAAGAAATCCATGCTACTACTTAAATGAAAAAGCAATGAGTTAAGTCTTGGAGTTTTAATATACTAAATGAGTTTACAAATTACAGTGCTGATGAGTCAAAGGGCTGAATTTGCCCTGTGCCCTGCAGGAGTGATACAATCAGCAAGATTACAAAAGAAACATTTGAAAAAATGCTAAATCCCTTTAAAAGTGATTTGTGACTGCACATATGGATTTTAAGTAAACTAACTTTAATTGAGCTGCCAGTCAACTGAAAACTTACTTTTAGAGAGAAAAACAAAAATATGTTTAATATCAGAACATAAACCACATACTGGATTACTTAAATCTGCAACTTGCACAAGATTTAAAGAACAAAAAATCACTTTATAACAAATCAGCATCATTAAAAAGATGTACCTTTAAGTTTTCAACTTCTTCCTTGTTTTCCCTCTTTAATTGCAAAATTGCAGCATGGTACTCTGTAAAAAAAAATAAAGAAGCGATTCAGATTAGTGACATAAATGTCAAAAAAAGCCTCTGTCTATTAAACATGACACTCTAGACACAGTGCCATTTCATACTGTGCTTCCGTGCCAAAAACATAGGTAGAGGCTTCTGAAGAGTAGGCCTGCTACAAAGATGACAAAGAAAATGTTTCCAGGATCAGGAGATACACATGGCCATACTGACAATGGTAAAAAGAAAAGGAGTACTTGTGGCACCTTAGAGACTAACCAATTTATTGGAGCATAAGCTTTCGTGAGCTAACCAATTTATTTGAACATAAGCTTTTGTGCGCTACAGCTCACTGAAAGCTCATGCTCAAATAAATTGGTTAGTTTCTAAGGTGCCACAAGTACTCCTTTTCTTTTTGCGAATACAGACTAACAGGGCTGCTACTCTGAAACTGACAATGGTGTTAATGATGACAGAGGATAATACAAATAGCTCTCACACAGGGAGAGGAGTAAAGTGTATGGGTGGAGTGGGAATGTATTTCAAATTGAGGTAACGGGAAGAAACTTGGGATTTGGTTTTTGAAGTAAAAAGCGGAGTTGATAGCATGCTTCTACCACACACAAAAAGTTTTGAAGGAATATCTACATTTAGTATTCAAATCTTGCACTGAACTGTATTCAATTTTAAAGCCGATAACATCTACATATCGACTAATTGGACAGGGTACAGAAAAAAGCCACGTGATTTGAGGCCTGGAAAAATGCCTTACAGCGAGGGACTTAAAAGCCTTAAAGATTATCAAAAAGAAGATTGAGAGGTGACTTGCTTATGTTGTATAAGTGCCTTGATGGAGAAGAAATACTAGGCACCAAAGTGCTTTTTAATATATCAGAGAAAGGCAGCACAACAAGAACCAATGGCTGGAAGTTAAAGCCAGACAATTTCAAATTAAAAATCAGGCAAAAAAATTTTTTAACAGTGTGAGTAATTAACATTGGAACAGCCTACCCAGGGAAGAGAGAGATTTTCCATCTCTTAATGTCTTTAATGCCTCCTAGTGAAATAGTGTTTCCTGATATCCAAACTAGACCTCCCACACTGCAACTTAAGACCATTGCTTCATGTTCTGTCATCTGCCACCACTGAGAACCTAGCTCCATCCTCTTTGGAACCCCCCTTCAGGTGTTGAAGGCTGCTATCAAAGCTACCTTCACTCTTCTTCTCTTCTGTAGACTAAATAATCCCAGTTCCCTCAGCCTCTCCTCGTAAATCATGTGCCCCAGCCCTCTAATCATTTTCGTTGCCCTCTGCTGGACTCTCTCCAATTTGTCCACATCCCTTCTGTAGTGGGGGGACCAAAACTGGATGCAATACTCCAGGTGTGACCTCACCAGTGCTGAATAGAGGGGAATAATCACTTCCCTTGATCGGCTGGCAATGCTCCTACTAATACAGCCCAATATGCCGTTGGCCTTCTTGGCAACAAGGGCACACTGCTGACTCATATCCAGCTTCTCGTCCACTGTAATCCCCAGGTCTTTTTCTGCAGAACTGCTGCTTAGCCAGTCGGTCCCTAGTCTGTAGCAGTACGTGGGATTCTTCCTTCCTACGTGCAGGACTCTGCACTTGTCCTTGTTGAACCTCATCAGATTTCTTTTGGCCCAATCTTCCAATTTGTCTAGGTCACTCTGGACCCTATCCCTACCCTCCAGCATATCTACCCCCCCACCCCCGCAGCTTAGTGTCATCTGCGAACTTGCTGAGGGTGCAATTAATATTTTGTAAGACTGTTTTTAATATTTTGTTAGACTAAGATTTTATTATATCTTTTAAAAAATTGTAACTGCAAATCACAGACCACACATGAAAAGATTTCATACAATAATATGGATTTGATTGTTATTTGCGTATGGTGCAATCGGTAAAAATAAATTTGTATATCCTTAAACTCATCATGATTCCAACAAATAGGACTCTAATTAATACAATTCACAGTTCTGAGTAATGAAATGAAAAGAAAGCCATATGGGTCTGCATAAAATTAAGCTTGAATTTCAGGGGAAGATGGGCTTGTCAACACATAACTGCTTAGTCATGAAAATATACTTGCATTTTAGTTTTGAAAACATAATTAAAGAACTGAAACAGTCTTCTGTCTACTGACATGAAAGCATTCTAGGATAATATTAGCTACGTTGATTACATGCTTGGTAGAGCTCTTTCTTTTAATAAGCAAACCAGACTACAAAAGCTGACTATTTGTTGTGTTTAGTAAGCGGAGTAACTGTTAGTGCTTACATTCATAAATCACAGTTGGCGCTTGCTCACATTCTCTAAAGAAAGCTTGTTGCAAGTGAGACCGAGGGCCCAGAGGTAGTCAGTCCCTCATATGGCACTAAGGAAGCAGCAGCACATTTGGCAACTAAAGCTACTCTCCTCCTCTCTCCCTACAGTTAAACATATTCAGCCAATGGAACATGGCTCTGCTCCTGCTCTCTGATACAATTCCTGTTGACTCAGTAGGGGAGAATCAGAGACCACAACTGCAATGAGTGATGAGCATAGACCAGACTGAACATGTTTAAGAGAAGCATTTCCCTTTGAGGTACGTCATTTGCCCTGGAAAGAGATTTAAATTAGCAGATAGCTATAGAATATGTACTGTATCTTTCTCTTGGGAATAGCTGTGATCAAACTACAGAAGTCATTCAACAAAATTCAACATTTTTTGTTGGACAACAAAGAAAACGAAGGCCAAAATTTAACTGACACGTTTCGCTATCTTAGGGGTTTATATGGTGCCTAGTACAGAGAACTAGGGCAACCACCACCAACAAAAAAACAAATTCTCTCTTTCTTTGGGGCAGAGGAGTCTGACTGTGTGTGCCTTTCTTTTAATTGTTTCTTTAGGGAGAGGGAAAGGACACTTGGTTTTCTACCAGCTGGAGACAAACAGTTGAAGTCTGTGAGCCAGGAAGCATCTTATGTGTAGATCTTGTTTAAATTGTTTTAACTATTTTTGCCAGCTAGAAGGAGCTAAACCATAGCATCTGGACTGATATAAAAGATCAAAGGGAGAAATGACTACATTTATTTGCTTGGTAAAATGAGAAAAATATGAGACAAAATAAAAAGGACAGGCAAAAACAACTTATAATGTCATCTCCTCAATATCTCTCTTCCCTTAAACCCATCATAAACATGAAATTCACCAGATTTAATGTCTAAGTACATAACTCACGCAGTAAACAATGTAAACCACACGAAAAATAAGGAATACAAAACCAAATAGGAATCCTAACCAGTTTGTACATAATATACAAATCCTCAGCTCCTTAGTTGCTGCCTGTTTCCAGATTGGCTAACTCCTCTCCAGCTACCAAACAAGAATTCTCCAAACACTTTCTGACGCAGAAGTAAATTAACATTTCTGTAGGGGTAGCGTATAGATTAATATTCTAAGGTTCCAGTATCTCAGGGATCTTGAACATGCCAAAATAAAGTAAAAAAAAAAAGTCCAGTCTGAGAAAATGGCTTGGGTTGGTTTTTAAACCATGTATTTTATTTAAGAGGCAGAATATTATTTACCATTTGGGAGTAGCAGTCTTGTTAATTTCTTGCCTCTTACATCAACTCTTTGGATTGGCAAACTCCAGAATAATTTCAATAGCTTGGAATGCTAAAACTTTTAGTTATAAGATTTTTTTTTGTTACCTTATTCCAAAAAATTTTGAAGCTTGGGGCAATAGCAGATGATCTAGTGGCCCCTTCTGCTCTTAAACTCTACGACTCTAAGAAATAGTGTACCCAATCTTCTGCTTAAACATATCACCTCTGGTAGAAGCAAGTGTCCAAGTCTTTGAATTGCTTATATACAGTGTGTTGTAAATCAATATACTGTAATGTATATCTAATATACTTTCTAGCATGCTATAAACAGATATACTGTAGCACATCAACTTACTGACCAATGTAATGTTTATTCCAAACTAGAAAGGAAGTATCTAAAATACAAATATTCCTGCTGGGTAATAATGGAGAGTGCTGTTTAAAGTAGATGCTTAATTCTGTATTAAGAATAGATATAAAATGAAATATTCTTCATCGGTTAATTTAAATATTGTAAAAATAATCTATTTAATAGGAGTTGACACTTAGCAAAGTGTGTTTTACCTCCTCCTTAAGCAAACATTAATATCTGTAGGTCTAAGATGGTACAGTGAAAACAAAACCCAACAGATAAGACCCAGGATTGAATATAATAATTTGTACTGTGCTGTGTGACACAGACAGTAAACAAGTGATTCAGTCTTCTCCTTAGCTATTTATCACAAGGGTAGTCTAATTTGGGACTATTCACTGTGAGTCATTTTAGCCCATTGACGAAAGAGTCCTGCACAGAGAACCAGGGGTCTGAGTTGTCAAAATTATCACTAAGGAAGGTGAAAAGGGAAGAGACTTGTAGGATTCCAGTGGCAACGATTAACTGCACTCATGCAGCTGCAAAGCTTAAATTTTCTGTCCATACTGGCTCAGAGGGATACAGAGCAAAATGCAACAGTACTTAGATGTTGCTCAGAAAAAAGTGCAACCACAATAGTGATGTAAACACCAGTGCACTGTTGATAAAAGTTGTATGTGAATGCATGGAGTTTTACATATGTACTAGGAGGCTGCAACACCAAAGCAGTGTAGGGTAGTGATAGCAAGAAAAAAGTCAGGTGGCAGGCACTCTCAGCATCTGTGGACGCAAAGAGGATAAGAGCTGGCAATTTAGGATTTATATGTTATAAGGAAAGACAATAGGAAAGAGTATGACCTCATTGTGATGGGGCACCTGCTCCGCACTGGCCCTGAGAGGGTTAAAACCAACCTAGGTAGGCTGAGCAGCAGGCAGCAGAGGGAGTGGCTGCAGAGAAACATCCAATTAGGGCAGCTGCAGACAATTAGGGCAGCAGCTGGATCAACCAATCAGGGCCCAGCCTGCCTATATAAAAGGAAGTTGCAGACCAAAGTGGAG